TGGAGGAGTGTGTGTGTGTGTGTGTGTGTGTGTGTGTGCGCGCGCGCGCGCGTGTGTGTTGCAGCACCACTGTAATTTTTGGAGTATGTGCTCAGGCGTGTACTTTGCCGTCATGTTGTTGGTGTCTTTATTGCTTTCTAGAATTGTTATTGTTATTATTTTGTTAAATTATCATGTTGCCCCATCTGTAATTAAACCAAATACTCACTATGCAGTCACTCAAATCAAGTCCGTTTGTGTTTTCCCCCGGAACTTCCTGTATATACACACGCAACTACTGGAGTCTCCATGATGAGCAAGTGAATATCACGTCCTCAGCTAGAGCAGAGAGAGAATTTACGATCAATAGAGAGAGTGCTTTCTTTTGTTTTTCTTCATTGAGCTGACATATTTAAGGATTGTACTGGGATTGGGTGGGAGGGATGTGTTTGGGGTCAGATTCGGGGGGTTGGTAGTTTGGAGAAATAGTTTGTCCAGTGCTGTAAGTATATCAATTGCATGTTATGATCTCTGAAGTAACTGCCATTGATTTTACATTTTGTTTTGGGCTGGAGGTGGGGGAGGGGATACACAAATATTTTATCTTTATTTATGAGATATAGAAAAATACTGTACTTTTTTCCAAAACGTGTTTTTAGAAAAAGACACACTTTTGCCTTTTTATCTCAGACTTTTTGATCTTAATATGCATTATAGAATTTTTACTTTTATCATTGTTGGCTGATTTCAAGCTGTTAATGTTATTGTGTTGTTTGTATTGATTCTTGACCTTTTGTTCGTTCTTCTTCCATGTTGTATTTGTGTTCCATTGATCTATGAATGAGTGCTGAAAGAGTTTTTAGCAAGGCATTGTGTCTTCAGCTGTTAGAAAACCAAAAGTCTATTGTATGCGTTTTGGTCCTTTTGTAACCATTTATTTTCAATTTTGAATACAATTATCATGTTGTTTGCTCTTATTACGGTTATTATTACTACTATCTTCAGGGTTAAGATCACACCAAATTAAGAGAAAAGTGGGACAGATTGCGAGTTATGTCTCAAAATGTTTCTGGGGAATGTTGCGTCAAAGGTGTGTCTTTTTCTGTTGAAGCTAAGCAATCATTTATTGCTCTTTAATTTCCGGGTTTTTTTGGTAACGTGTTTCCCCCAGAGCTGTTATTAGAGCTCTGTTTTGCTGTATGGTTACAATGTGGTTTTTAATGTGGAAACCTCACATTTTTTTAGCTTCTGTTGCACTGGAGGTTTTTATTATTATTCATTGACACGATGGAGTTTGGAGCCATGTAGTTCACCAAATTCTATTTGACTTTGATAAATGTTTAAACCTGCTAATTCTGTTTGATCTGTTCCGTTGTCATGCTGTTCAGTCAAAAAGAACCATTTGTTGGCATATTTCAACAGCTTGAAAAATATATTGCAAAAATTAGAAATGCTTTGTGCCAACAAATTTAGACAACCTTAGATGAGAATATAGCTATATATATATATATAGATGCAACATTTTGCTAACTTTTTGGGATTAGTTTGATTTAAACTAAAAATATTTGATGTGGTATGTTAAAAATAAGACTCAACTACAACAGCCAAGCACGAATAATGTAGCTTGCCTTATGTAAATTTTTTTTTTTACTTATTTATTTTGCTTTATTTTTACATTTATTTATTACATAAAAAAGTATGGGGGGGTACCATCTTAATATATGGAGCAGAAGTATCCCAACCTGTTGTATTGTATTGAGAGACAGCCATCACAGTTTTATTATTTTGATGCCCCCTTCCCCACTTTTTTTGTTGTTTCCTCATTTCAAATGAAAGAAATGCCATTATATTGTGAATACCTCAGGATTTTTTTTTTCTTTTG